TACCAGGACCCACGGGAGGAAAGGCTGCGGATATCGCCAACCTTCCCTCGCGTCTCCGCATTCGGGCCTCCGGGGATAGGGGAGCGAACAATGACAGAAACATGAAAACTCGGAGGTCCGCGCGGATTTCTCGGATCCGCGCCGAACCCCCCTGGCGGCTCCTCCGGCGCCGCCCCTGGCGCGCTCCGCGCGCCGTGGAGGGGGGTCCAGCGCCGATCCGAGAAATCCGCGCGGACCTCCGAGTTCTTATGTTTATGTCATTGTTCGTTCCCCTAGGGGAGGCCCTCGTGGCCACGGCCGGCTCCTCGCCTCGGAGTCCTGCAGTCCGGGGGGCAGCGCCAGCGGTGCCTCTTCGGCTCCCCGAGGACCCTCCCAAGAGAAGGCTGGCGGCGCACACGAGGGGGCCCGCGCGAGGCGGGCGGCCCTTTCTCGGGAGGGGAAAAACACACAGACACAATTAATCGTCGATCCCCAAGAAAATAAGGGGAAATATTGGAAGTGGGGGGGAAGACAGAAGCCCAGAAAATATGGGAAATTATGGGGAATCTGGTTATTTGTGTCTACATATTTGTGTGTCCCAGTGTCCCTTCACTTTCAGAAGACGGGCCGCTCCGAAGCATCGAAGAGTCGGTGGCGAGCCTGGGGGGGGAGGGGGGGAGGGAGCAGGCCTTCTCAGAAGGCGTCGGGGGTGGATCGACCTCCTACCCTGACACGTCGATTAGCGAACTGGCCGTTTTCGGTTCGCGAGAGGGCGTCGCGGCCGTCATTCTTGCGGGTCCAGGCCCTTTGGATTCGGTCCTAGGCCGTTTTCATGAAATGGAGGTTTATCAAAGGGAGGCTTCTCAGTAGCCCTCCAGCCTTCCGAGAGGTTTTCTGTGTCTTCGAGGAAGGTTTAGAGCAAGTTTTTCAGACGGCCAGAGGACTTCCGAGCCTTCTGAGACGGCCCGCCCCCTCTCACTTCCCCCCTGGGCGCGCCGCCGAAAGAAGAAAGAACGGCACAAGCATGCACTTTCGGAGGTCCGCGCGGACTTCTTGGATCCGCGCTGGAACCCCTCAGCGCCGATCCAAGAAATCCGCGCAGCGCGCTGGAACCCCTCAGCGCCGATCCAAGAAATCCGCGCAGGTCTTCGAAAGTTTCTGCTTATGCCGCTACTTGTTGCTCTGAAGAAGGCAGGTGCCTCCTTGCAAGGGCCTCGGTACTTGTAAGAGGGTTTCCGAAGAGCCGGGATGGCTCCCAAGGGCCCAGACCTCCCCCTGGTGCGAAAGAGTCACGACGGAAGGCGATTGCAAACTTTGGGCCGCTGTGGGTCCTCGCCAGTCCCCCCTGGGATCGTCAATCATCGCAGGCCTAAAGGTTGACACCAACACCAATATCGGCGGTGTGCCTCCGCCGAGGGAAGAAGATCCCGATCTCGGTGATGGTGGTAATATTCTGGCTGCCGAGGTGACCGAAATATTAGCACCGACACCGAAAGCTAGGATCATCTTCCCCCCGTGGAGGTAGTCTTTTGTGCTGGTGTTGGTGCTCAGTTCCAGGCCTCCAAGGATGCGACCATTCCCGTGGCAGGGGTCCAGGCCCCTGGGCGACCACAAGAAAAGCCTCACCACCCACCAAACCACCCCAACCCAACCCGAGGGCCTCCATGTGCCCTCCACTTCCAGTGTGGGGGGGGTATTCGGGGAACATGGAGAAAACACACATTGAACCCGTACCCCCCGCCCACCCGAAATGCGGGTCTTCGGGTTGGCTTGGGGTGGTGTGGTAGGCTTAAGTCGGGCTTGTCCCTCGACAGGAGCAATATTCAAAATGGTTACAAAATAGTCAGGGGACGATTTTTCCAGCATTTGTCACTATTTTGGAACATTTTTGGGGTATTTTTGATTTTTCGTCCAAAATCCCACTGTGGGGGGACACGCCCGACTTTATGGTAGGCAGTCAAAACCACGACGTCGGAGGACCGGGGCGCCCCTCGGGCTGCCGAGAGGCCCGCCCCCCCCCCCCGGCGCCGCCCGTCCCCCTGGTGCGCGCCGCCGAGAAGAAGCGGGAAAGCCTTTGGCAGGGCCATGGTCAGGGACCGGCTCGCCCTGCTGACCCTGATGCGCAGCAGGTCGGCCAAAAAACAAACGACACCACCCTACCTACGGCCCTCCATGTTGCGCCACGGCCCAGCGGGGGCCGTGGCGTATGCCATGCGAAAACCCACGCCAGATGTCCAGGTATACGCTACGGCCCGTGGGGCCGTAGGTGGGGTGGTGTCGTTTGGTTTCTGGTCCAGCAGGGTGACGGGCGACACCGTCATCTTCGCGAGCACGCATCTGGCCCGCAACCCGGAGGAGAAGGACCGGCGAGGAGGGGAAAGTGGGGGCACAGGCACCACCGCTCGTCGATGCGTCCAGGAAGGTACCGGGAGCACATGGGAGACGGAGGGGAAGACGAACATCTATTCTGGATCGCTTAATAATCCCCCCCCCCCCCCCCCGTTGGAGTGCCAGGGGGGGTTGGCCGCGGCGCGTCCGCGGGGGTGCCAGGGGGCGTCTGGGGTTCGATCCCTTCCCCGCTGGGGCGCGGGGGTGGTGCTGGGGGGTTGGCCGCGCCGCGTTTTCAACGTTTGTCACCACCCAGTTGATTATGAAGAAGTTCGGAGCAGGGAATATGCAGAGCTATGGGGAAGCCCTTGAATTTGTGCTTCTTCTGGCGAAGGGACCCCGTGAAAGGAGCTGGACGGCCTCCGCAGCCGGCAGATCAGCCAGGTCATCCGCGGCATCGCCAGCTTCTCGCAGCAGAGGGGGGCCCACCGAGTCTCCTCCTCAGGTCGCTCTGCCTGCCAGCCTGGGACAGGTCCCTGCCTCTCTCCAGTCTGGAGGGTTTCTCCGCAGGGCTTAGGCGACCCGTCCTCCTCCTCCCTCCTCCTCCTCCTCTCCTCCTCCCTCCTCCCTCCTCCTCCTCCTCCTCCTCCTCCTCCTCCTCCTCCTGCTTCTCCTTCTCCTCCTGCTCCTGCTCCTCCTCCTTCTCCTCCTCCTCCTCCTCCTCTATCTTCTCCTCCCCCCCCTCCCCCTCCTCCTCCTCCGCCTCCTCCTCCTCCTCCTCCTCCCCGGGTCGCCGACGGGCCCGGGGGAAACCGTGCACTCCAGTCAAAGCGCATAGTGAGGATGATCTTCTTTCCAAGGTTGCCCTTGCATCCTTCCCTTCAGCCCATCCTGGGCCACTTTCGCTGGCCAGCCTGTTTCGAAAAACGCCAACATGGCCTTCAAGGCCCTTGCATCCTTCCCGCGAATCCTCATTCTGCGTTTTCACTGTAATATTGGATGTTACCTTCTTCCGAAAAATCAGTTGTATAAACATAGACAAGAACAACTGCATACACATAAACTTTCGGAGGTCCGCGTGGACCTCCAGAAGTTTTTTAAGCAGTTTTTTGTTTTTGTTTCTATTCTCTCGGTGCCGGTCAGTTTCTGTTGGGCTTGTCAATCTTAAGGATAGGGATGAACCCGAGGCCAGTTATCAGCGCACGTGCTCGGTGCGCTTGTGAGGCGAACGCACCCTCCGATCGTGTCGCAGTCGGGGTGCCTGTTCCGATGGTGTTCGTGAGTCCGTTGTTCAGATTCGCGCTCGCTGGATTGAGCAGCGGTCTCAGGCCCCTGTCGTTCTCACCGGAGACCTGAATGCAACAGCGTTCGAGAGGCTGATCGGCATCGCCAGTGTGTCCGCCATCTTGAGAGAAGGCGGGAGCTTGAATCATGGGCCTGACCCCTCACCGTAATTGGTTTGGATCGGGGGGTGCTGGAAGTGTCCCTAGCCAAAGGTGTCCTCAGGATTTACAAGGAGGCCTCCACGGCCTCCAGAGCATCCATGAGCTCCAACATGTAGCCAAAAGCTGGAGACACCGTGGGCAGGGGACACCTTCAGCAACCCCCGACGGGAGACGTTCTTTTCCCCTCCTCCTCCTCCTCCTCCTCTTCTCCTGCCTCTCCTCGCGGCGCCCTTGCATCCTGGGGCCGTCGGGGCGCGGAGCCAACGGCGATCTCAGGGTCGCTTGTCTTGGGGGAACCTCTCCCGTAGCGAGTGTGTCTGGAGCCTCCTCCTCCTCCTCCTCCTCCTTCTTGTCCTTGGTCGGGATGCGGCGTCGTGGAGGCCCCTCCCCTCCCAGACGTCCGGCGCCCCCCCTTTGTCCCAGCCATGCATCCTGTGGTGTTGGGGCCTCGTCTTTCCTCAGCGGCTCGGGTCGTCCGCCCGGGTCGCTCCTCGGCGGCCGCTCGGCCCTTCCGCCGGCCGTGTCGTAAGCCCCCTCCCGCCTGGTCGTCGGCCGTCGGCCCCGGCGGCGCGGGCCGACCCATGTCTGAGGGGCCTCCCTTCTCGGGCGTCTGTCTCTTCGAGCGGGCGTGGCGCGGAGGTCGCCCAGGGGAGCGCGGGGGGCAGGAGGGAGGAGGGAGGGACGAGGGTGGAGGGAGGGAGGGCGTAGGGAGGAGGAGGGAGGAGAGGAGGAGGAGGAGGAGGAGGAGGAGGAGGAGGAGGAGGAGGAGGAGAGGAGGAGGAGAGGAGGAGAAGAGGAGGAGGAGGAGAGGAGGAGGAGGAGGAGGTGGAGGAGGAGGAGGAGGAGGTGGAGGAGAGGAGGAGGAGGAGGAGGAGGAGGAGGAGGAGAGGAGGAGGAGGGAATAGGGAGGAGGAGGCGGAGGAGGAGGCGTAGGAGGAGGAGGAGCGGAGGAGGAGGAGGAGGAGGAGGAGGGAGAGGAGGAGGAGGGTGGAGCAGGAGAGGAGGGGGAGGAGGAGGAGGAGAAGGGGAGGTCGAGATGAGGTGGATGAAGAAGGGGGGTTTTCCTGCCTGAGGAGGCAGCGGACCGCACCCTTTTGTCTTCGACTGCCGCGACGTGCCCAGCCGCCCCACGAGCGTCACGAAGGAGCGGCAGATGCGCATCGACGCCATCCTGTACCAGGCGCGTCGTCTCCAGAGGGCAGGGCGTCTCGTCGTCTTTTTCTTGCTCCTGCTGCTCCCTCTCCTGTTCCTCTTCCCCCTCCTCCTCCTCTTGCTCCTCCTCCTCTTCCTCTGCCGTCCCTCCCTGGCCCTCTCTCTTTTCGCTGAGGCCTTGATGACTCTTCTCCAATATATTCATGGGGATCGAGCCAGACATTTCGGAGTATCTCGATGTACATCCAGATGATTCGAGGTACATCAGCCTTGAGCAAATCGTGGAAGCTCCAGCGTCAGTCGAGGGACAGCAGAAGTCGTCAAATCCAACGCCAGAAACTGCCCACATCCACCGCTTCAGAGTCGTGTTCTGGGATCTCGAGGGGCGGTGGATATGGATACCTGCCCGCCCGCGTGAGCAAGCAAGCAAGCAGGCAAGCAAGCAAGAAAGTGCGTGCACCATGGCATTGGGAACTTTGACTGCCACGGTGGCAGCACGCTGTCACGATGGCCTCTCACTCGCTCTGTGGCCCGTGGCCCAGCAGCGAGCTCCACCTCTCTGCGCCGCGAGCATGCTGTCGGCGCATGCCTGAAACCACCCCTCGCCCAACGCGTTTTGGCTCTGCCTCGGCGGGCAGAGATCCACCCCGTCCGCGTGAGCGGGCAGATGTCCGTACTCCAGACTTCTAAATCATGCCCCAGACGAGCCAGACCAGCCAGTGAAGAGAGGCCCTCTGCCCAGGCCCTCCGAACCCCTCCAAGGCAGCTCAAGTCAGGCCTCCCAAATCAGACCACCCCCTCTTGATTCTGAAATCTGGGGTGCCCACTGGTCCCTAAGTCCCAAGGAGAGAGAGAGAGAGAGAGAGAGAGAGAACAACAACAACAAACAACACCACCCTTTCTGCCGGTGGGGGGGGGGGCGGGCGGCCCAGCAGGCCTGCGCTGCGCGCTCGGGAGAAGAGGGGGGGTGGGTGGAAGGGGCGGGGGTTCGGGGGGGGGACAGATCGAGGGGGAGGAGCGGGAGGCAGAAGGAGGGGGAACGGCGGGGGGGAGAGAGAAGAGGGAGGAGGGAGGAGGGCGAAGGGAGGAGGGAGGAGGAGGGAGGAGGAGGAGGAGGAGAGGAGGAGGAGGGAGGAGGAGGAGTGGAGGAGTGGGAGGAGGAGGAGGGGTGGGAGGAAGGGGGGGAGGAGGAGGGGCATCTTCTGGCGGCGCATGGAGTCCTCAACTTCTTGACCCCCCCCGCTGCTGCTGCTGCTGCCGCCACTTTTATGCAGAGACTTATTCAGGAGGGAAAAAGCGCACAGACACAATGAATCGTCGATCCCCAGGGAAATGGGAAAATATGGGCAATGGGGGGAAGACGACAATCTAGAACATATGTGACAATGTGGGGAATCCTGGGATTTGTGTGTATTTGTTTGTGTGTCCCTGGGCCCCTTTACTTGTGTCTCCCCCCGTGTGTTTATTTTGGACGCCCTGTGATTGCCCATACGCCTACCGGTCTTGTTTCCCGACCTGTGCCGGGCGACACCGTCCGAAACATTTGCAAAAGGAGCGCCCGCAAACGGATGCGTGCTCTGGCGCCTCTGGGGATTGTACCAGTTTGCTGGGGTCTTTGCAGTCGCTCCGAAAGGAACTCGCGAAGCCCCCTGCCCAAAGCGGCCCTCGCCGAGGCGAGGTCGCCTTTTTTTGCACCTGCTGCTCGGTGCATAGTGCTGACAGCATTTCCCACAGATGCTGTGAGGTGTCGCCTCTGGCTCATGTGATGTGGCCGTGGAGGTCAACAAAAAGCTGGGGGCTGTGCCAGTCCTGCGGGGAATGGATAAGAAGCATGGCTAACCTGGGTCGTCGCCGAAACATGCCACGCGGCTCCGCGATCCTGCGGCCCGGCCCGAGCTCGCCCCCTGAGGGCGCGGGGGGGCGCTTGGCGGGGCTCAAAGGGGCCCGCTGCGTGCACCACGTCTCGCCTTGGAGCTGGCTGGGGGTCTGAGGTGGCCCAGCACTAGTTCCGGTGAGCAGGAAGTGATGGGCCTGTTGTCCACCACCACCACCACCACAAGTTGGAGGTGGAATGAGGAGGACGAGGAAGAGGAGGAGGAGGATGACGAAGAGGAGGAGGAGGAGGAGGAGGAGGAGGAGGAGGAGGAGGAGGAGGAGGAGGAGGAGGAGGAGGAGGAGGAGGCGGAGGAGGCGGAGGCGGATGAGGCGGAGGAGGAGGTGGAGGTGGAGGAGGAGGCGGAGGAGGCCGAGGGGGAGGAGGAGGAGGCGAAGGACGAGGCGGAGGAGGCGGAGGAGGCGGAGGCGGAGGAGGCGGAAGAGGTGGAGGAGAAGGAGGCGGAGGAGGAGGAGAGGAGGGTTGGCCGACCGTCTTGCTCGAGCGTCTCCCGGGGCGCAGGCGGGGCGGCGGCCATGCAGCGGCCCAGGGCCGCCCTGGCCGCGCCGCGCTCTGGCGCGCTGCTGGCGCTCGCCCTCGCCGCGGTCCTGCCGCCCGGCGCTGGCGCGGCGGGCGCCGGCGCGGTCCCCGCCGGGGGCCTTCGCGCGGCCCTCGCGGAGGCGAGGGGCCAGCAGGAGAGCGCCAAGGCCTGTTTCCCTTTGG